TATATTAATATAAAAATTAATGTAATAATTGTTTGCATTTGCAAGAAATATGGATAGAAGGATAGGTTGCAATGATACATAGGAAGAAAAAAGATAGATGGATAAATAGATAGATAGATAGATATGGAGATAGATATAGATGGAAAACATTAATAATAATAATAATGATAAATAGATAGATGATAGACAGATAGATAGATAGATAGATAAATAGATAGATGGATAGATAGATGTAGAAAAATAGATAGATAGATAGTTAGATACTATAGAAAAAAAGATAAATAGAAATATAATTATCATTATTATTATTATTAATGTTTTCAGTTTCAAGAGAATATTCGCTTAAACGTAAGTCTTACTTAGGTCCAGTTACGAGTGTTAACACTCGTAAAGTCAGCCGAATTTTAAACGTCTCGTAGAAACAAGTGCTTCAACTCATCAATATAAATTTAGAGGAAAGTAACCGAAACAGCCAAAAACCTCCTACAGAAAGGAAGAATTTGAGCAGAAATTCATATTCAGTAGCTTCGAGACATTAAGTCAATTAGACATTCCATGTTAATGTAAGTTACATATTAAATAATAATCATTCATTGTTAATCTCTTCTCTGCTTCGCATTTATTTTCGAGCTTTTTGCATTATGTTTCAAATCAGCATGTTAATCTTTGACTTGTGAAAGGAATTGTTCAATTAACAATTGAAACTTAGAGAATGTAATGAAAGGCCATATATCATTGATAATTGATATGAGCAATTTCAATCGGTTCAATCGAAGTTCCATTGTGTAGGTTACAATTGGTTATATAGATAATATTTATAATCGTAACATCGTGAAAGATGCCGATGATTGAAAAACGCTAAGATTTAGTTTCATAATTTATTTTAACCGGAGTTTAAGACTTATTGAGACAAACTTGCATAGTCATATTGCATAACTGAAGTAGAACAAATAATTATATAAAAGTGAAGATGATGTCAAAAGTAAGTTAAAATAATTTTGACGTTATCTTGACCTTTGATGATTATTTGTTCTACAGAAGGAAACAGATTAATTATTAGGTGTGCAACTAAGTTCTCGCTGTTTTTTTGATGAAAATGCAACTTTATTGTGAAAAAAATGGTTACAAATGAATCATTCAAAATATTGCCCATCGCTAGCGACAACTTTTTCCTATCTTTCTGGCAGAGCTCGAATACCGTCACGGTAGAAGTGTTCGGTCTTTTGAGGCTATCCACGAATCAAGCCATTTTAAGATGTCTTCATATGAGCGGAACTGCTGATTAGCCAGACCATGTGCCATCGAACGGAACAAGTAATAATCGGACGGCGCAATATCTGGGGAATATGGCGGGGGGGGGAGGACTTCCCATTTGAGCGTTTTCTAAGTAGGTTTTAACGGGTTTGGCAACGTGAGGCCGAGCGTTGTCATGCTGTAGAATCACTTTTTCGTGCCTCTGCTCGTATTGTGGCCGCTTTTCGCGCAGTGCTCGGCTCAATCGCATCAATTGAGTTCGATACCGTTCCCCAGTGATGGTTTCGTTCGGTTTCAACAGCTCATAATAAATAACACCGCCCTGGTCCCACCAAATACACAGCAAAACCTTCGCAGCGTGAATATTCGGCCGAGCCGACGACGTAGAAGCATGACCGGGCAGTCCCCATGATTTTGTTCTCTTTGGGTTGCTGTAATGAATCCATTTTTCATCACCCGTAACGATGCGATGAAGAAAACCCTTCCTTTTTTGCCGCTGGAGCAGTTATTCACAGGCGAAAAAACGATGCTCAACGTCTCTTGGCTTCAAATCATGAGGAACCCAAGTTCCTTGTTTTTGAATCATTCCCAACGCATGCAATCGCTTGGAAATGGCTTGGCGAGTAACTCCTAATGCTGAAGCAAGCTCTTTTTGCGTTTGGCACGGATCCTCATCGAGCAATGTCTCCAATTCAGCGTCTTCGATGGTTTTTGGCCTTCCTTCACGCGAACGGTCGTCAACATCGAAATCACCGTCTTTGAAGCGACGGAACCAATCACGACACGTTGTTTCACTTAGAGCAGCATCTCCGTAAACTTTTTGGAGTTCTCGATGCGCTTCAGCCGCCGTTTTCTTCGAATGAAAGAAGAAAAGCAACACTTCCCGCAAATGACGATTATTTGGCACAAAATAAAACATTTTCACACAACCAAAAGTATATGACGCAAAAACAAAATCACTAATGTGTCAAAGCGGTTTGTTTACCATATGTCTAAGCTTGGTTCATGACGTTTTGGTTATGTCACAATCGACCAGCACTTACTACTGAAGCCATCTCTTGAAAAACAGCGGGAACTTAGTTGCGCACCTAATAAATGTAAAATATGTCTAATATAAAAGGCACGCTTGTACGGATTATGATTGGTTGATTTCCTTGTGCATATCAATGATGCGATTATGTAATTTTGTTGAGATAGGCTTTTAAAGAGTTGTCTTATTCAATCCGACAAAAAATACATATATTTCGTTAATTTTTTTTGCGGAAGCGAAAAAGATCACATGATTAAAAGATTACGGGTTTTGAGAGTTTGCTTAATGATGTTTGAAGAATATATATACATTTTTCTACAAGTATGTAAGGTTAAAAATATATAAAATATTGCAGTAAAAGCAAAGAGGTTGCAAATAGACGATTCCAAGGAATTTCTAAATGTGTGTGATTTAATTTTACACAATTATTTAAAGTAGCTTTTTATTTGCTATAAGTATAGCTATCGTCTGAACTACAATCGGAACACAAATAATAAAATGGTAGCATTTAGAACAAAAATCGTCTATTTCTGGCTTCTCGGTAAAGTTTAATAAAAAATATTAATTGTTAATGAATTTAGTTAATTGTAGATAAAACGGTAAAGAGAAGTCTATTTTATAATGCTGCCAAGTTGCAAGTCGATTGGTCAAATAGTTATTGAGATATCGTGAGTACCGTGGAACCTCCTTGCTTTCACTGCAATATTTTTCATATTTTTAATCTTATATGTAGAAATTTATATACATTCTTTACAAACATCACATTAAACAAACGCTCAAAACAAAAATCCTGTAATCTTAAAGAAACAGGATATTAATCTAAAATATAGAAACGATCAGAAATAACCGCTCGGTACTTCTAATATTAACGAATTATATTCGGTTAAAATAATATAAATCGTATAATATATTCCGGTTAATATAATATAAGTCGTATAATATATTCCGGTTAATATAATATAAGTCGTGAAACTGGACCTAAGTAAGCGTTTAAGCGTTTAAGCGAATATTCTCTTGAAACTGAAAACATTAATAATAATAATAATGATAATTATATTTCTATTTATCTTTTTTTCTATAGTATCTAACTATCTATCTATCTATTTTTCTACATCTATCTATCCATCTATCTATTTATCTATCTATCTATCTATCTGTCTATCATCTATCTATTTATCATTATTATTATTATTAATGTTTTCCATCTATATCTATCTCCATATCTATCTATCTATCTATTTATCCATCTATCTTTTTTCTTCCTATGTATCATTGCAACCTATCCTTCTATCCATATTTCTTGCAAATGCAAACAATTAATATTACATTAATTTTTATATTAAATATATTTTTTATACTATAACATGCTGAATTAATAATTAATAAAATTCAACAGGTTATACTATAAAAACAAACACTTACGTAAAAAAATTATTATATTATTAAAAAGTTTGCATTTATTTCTTGACGGAGATCACCATTTTCTCGCAGTTTCCGTTGAGCAACAATATGCATATTATCTATTCGTAAAATTAAATAATAAAGTCGTAATTGAAATATGATAATAAAACTAATTTCTTTTTTCACTAGACTAAATTTACTTTTGCTACGAAAAGAAAAATGTAACAATGGAATATCTTTTACAAAACAAATAACATTTCATTTAATTTTTAATTTAAATTTATTAGCATAAATAAATTATTCTGTCATATACTTTAATAACAAATCATTTTTAAAAGATGCATATATTGGCTAAGAGTGGATTTCTATTAACTTTTCGTCTCTCATTATAATTCTCTCTTCTTTATTTGTGCATTAATACTAAATATTATACACTATATATGTGTCATTTATTTATATATATATTGTCATGTAATTAATATATTTAATCAAGCCGTAAGAACACGAGAAGAGAGGAAGAGCGAGCAAGTGCGCGAGAGAGAGAAAGAACGAGCGAGAGAGAGAAAGAGCGAGGTATAGGAGAAAAATCTCGCGGCTCACGCAGTCAATAAGCTAGACGAGCGGGAAAGAAACAGATAATATGTCGACGCTCGTCTAGTCTTCCATGTGCTACCTCGCGTGCGTGAAAAATAATTCCTCGCTTCGCACGTTCCCTTGACACGAGACGCTACCGCGTCTTTTGATGTCTCTGGAGCGTGAAAGATGAAAGAAAAGCGGAGAGATGTTCGCTTAGCGATAAGATCGCCGCTACCTCGCCTCGTGTTTACTGCCGCGCGTCGCTCAGTAGTGAGACAAAGAAGGAACGATTGTCTGTCGTCTGTCTTTTTCTAATCTACTATTCATTGCATGGGAGTAGTACGGACACGAACCTAGGCGCATTTTATTTTTATCACCGCGAAAGTGCGCCTAGCGGACGTAGTTTAGACACATTTTGGTCAGATGGCGTATCTAAAATGCGCCTAGCCGTATCCCCCGAAATACGGCCGGTAGCGGCTCTCATTATTCTATCTGGTACTATCCTTGTCTCTTTCATGCGTAGAGTAATATTATGACAATGAAACTGTAGTTCAATTTTTTGTTGAATTTTACATAAAACTCTGCTTTCCAGACTTCGTTATTATAAGTACTTTCATTATGCAAAAGGATTTTTCAATCAGTGCAGCTAATAAAAAGATTAGTGGTTGAAACTCTCGTATCTTTGTTCCCTTGATTGTACGCTCATTAGGCCGCGTTTACAATCAGTCGGAAGATGTTGTCGTATGTCGCCTTTGACTATATAACTATGGACTGCTAGCAGCTTACTTTTCCACGCAATAAGTGTCTACAAACATCTGCAGCGCCGCCAGTACTAAACACGGCAAATGATGGAACTCGTTGAGCATAACGAATGATAACGAAGTAGACGTATCTAGTAGCTATATATTATACCATATGAGATATATAATAACACGGCAATTACAAACAAGAAAATAATAAATAAAAATGAAATACTGTGTTGTCCATTGGTGCAATAATTCTATTCATAAAAAGAAAAAGACAGGAAAGCATGTGGCTTTATTTGCGTAAGTCTCTCTCATGTTACATTACAACAATAACTTATTAAATGGTTAATTTTTAAATTAAGTAACAAAGCAGTGTCGTATAATATGTGTATACATATAAACACATGAGATTGCAATAATAATACGGCAATTAAGAGTAATGTTTGTACAATTTCATGTGTTTAGACATGTATGAGAATATCATATGAAACAGATATATTACTAAAATAGTTTAAATCTTTATTAATATTTTTAGATTTCCAAAAAATCTGGAACATCGTACAAAATGGGTGAAAGCATTGAAAAATGTGGCCATAAAAACAAATAGCACTGTATGTCAAGAACATTTTAATGAAACCTGTATGTACAAAACTGGATTGTCATCATTACGCTTGTACGAAGGATCTGTACCATCTATATTTCCACATGTTTCTAATTTAAGGTAATATTACTAAAATTGTTAATACATTTAAACTATAATAATACCACTTTCATACAAACTTTATACAAATAAAAAAAAATTGTTAATAGCATAACAGAAAGTATACACTGTAACGAAAACAATAATGCATCTTCTGAAGCATTGATGGAAGATGAATCAACAATTGGTTCTCATCAAGGACAAATACAAGATAATATGACGTATTCAACAAAAACCAATACTGTGGCGTCAAGTGATAAATGTTTAATAAGATATCCAGGAGATATTACAACCGAAAAAGTGGCAAATATGTCGTCAAGTAGTTTAAGGAAGTATGTTACTATATTAAGAAAGAAATATAATGCTCAACAGATTGCAATGAATCGTTTAAGATCTCAAGTATATAGTCAGAAGAAAACAATTGAGAGTTTAAAACAGTTGTTCACTGCTCTAAGAAAAAATAATTATATTTCCTCTAATGCTGAGCAAGTATTACAGGTAATTAAAACAGATACTCCTTCACCTACATATACTTGAATCGTATTGTAAAACCCTTTATAGGCTGAAATACATAAATGGCCAAAATAGGTATTTGAAAATACAAAATGCAAAATAGGTATTTTACAAATGCTACAAATTACAAAATAAAATTACAAATTTTACAAATATATAAGCACATATATGTATATATAAAATACATAATTTTGGAAAAGCATTTTTAAAATACCTATTTTGCATTTTGTACTTTCAAATACCTATTTTGGCCATCTCTACAGAAATATATGTATATATTTATGAACCATTCCATATTTTTATGTTAATATGGGAATCGCTATGTATGTGTGGATGGAGTGAGGCCCAGATGCGGACAGAATAAATCGGACACAGTAACAATCGGACACAGAATAAATCGGACACAGTAACAATCGGACACAGTAACTATCGGACACAGTGACAATCGGACACAGTAACAATCGAACACAGTAACTATCGGACATAGAAACAATCGGACATAGTAATTATCGGGCACAGTGAGAAACGGACACAGTAGGATACGTGCTCCGTACATGTTAATAGTACATGTATGAGCGGGGGGGCTCCGCACCCCCCAGGCTTCGCCCGTTCCCCTCACCCCCCGCCCCCATCCCCACCCTCTATGCCCGATTGCAACCACCATGTGTCCGATTCTCACTGTGTCCGATAGTTACTGTGTCCGATTGTTACTGTGTCCGATTGTCACTGTGCCCGATAGTTACCCAACAAACAAAAAATTTGGCAGCAAATTGTCGCCAATTTGATACCAAATATGACCAAAACTTGACGGCAAATCTGGTGCCATCTGTGTCCGCAATAAGCTCGGGTTTTGCTAGCAAAGTTTGTTAACAACTTGCCACCAAATTGACGCCAAATACCGAGCAAGGTTTATCCGGCACAGTTTGACGCCAAATTGACGCCAAATACCGAGCAAGGCTTGTACGGTACAGTTTGACGTCAAATTGACGCCAAATATTGAGCAAGACTTGCTCAACACTGAGAGCAAATTAACATTAAAATCCAATCCAAGAATAATAAATTTATTAATTTGAATGATTTTCCATTTTATTATTATTAGAATAAAATAGTGATTTACATAAAAATTATATTTTCATATACAGAAAAAAATGTACTAAAAAAATTAACTTTTTTAATTATATAAACAGTTAGTTTGCATATAACTATATATGCATTTTTTAAATAAACAAGTAATTTATTTATTTAAAGAAAATGTTTTTTACAATTAAATGCATCTAAATTTATTATTAAATATAAACATATCTTTCTAAAGTAAAAAATATTTACTACCATATCCTATAACATATCCTGTCATTTTTGTAAAGTTGAATTCTATTTATTATTATTCCTATTTTATTTGCGTCGTTTTTGAAATATTATGAATGATTTTGTTTGAATTTGCTCAGTTAAGTACTATTTAATCCCCACGCACGCACGATATCACTTATATTTTATTTGAAAAATTCACTTTATCGTTCTCTGGCCGGGCTCGAACTTGGGACTTTAGATTGGGAATCAGCGATGCTTCACACTACACGACTTCACTTTGATTTATAAATATGTTTTGTATTGTCTATACGTGCGCAAAGCGCAAGCTTTGCTCGGTTTTTGATGTCAATTTGGCGTCAAACTGCGCCGTAGAAGCCTTGTCTGGTTTTTTGTGCTAATTTGGCATCAAAGTGCGTTGTGCAAGCTTTGCTCGGTTTTTGATGCCAATTTGGCGTCAAACTACCGTACAAACTTTGTTCGGTTTTTGGTATCAATTTGCCGTCATTTTTTGTTAGCAAACTTTGTCTTATGTTTGCTGACAATTTGCCAACAACATTTTATTTAGCAGATATTACACCAAATTTGATGTCATTTTGTCAGTAAAATTTGTAGCCAAGTATTTGACAAAATGCTCAAACATATTTGGTTATCTGGGTACTGTGTCCAATAGTTACTGTGTCCGATTGTTACTGTGTCCGATTGTCACTGTGTCCAATTGTTATGGCTCCTGCACACAGGACGCGGAAACGCTTGCTGCGCGGCGGAAGTCAGCACGGTAGCCAATCAATCTCTTACTTTTGCGGAAAGAGTGTATATATATCTTCCGCCGCGCGGAAAAAGTTAAAGTTGATTTAACTTTTCCCACGCGGTATAGCTATTTGTAGTGTATCTTTTACATATCGTAAAGTAACCATAGAGATGTAAGATATTTCTATAGAAGTAACGTAAGTCAACGTATGTTCCGCCAACGAATATTTTATAATTCTGGAAAAGAAAATCTAATTATGGAGAATGAAATGGAAAATATTGAAGTTGTAAGTAAAAAAAAAATATTTATATATTAATGAATATTCATAATTATAGTACAGTATATGATGAAAGAACTGATTTTATGATTGATGTTTTTTATAAGGTTATGTGAAACAGGTATAGGTTAATTATTATATTTATTGTAAAGGTAATTATTATATGTAATTTTGTTGCGTATGTATAACTTAATTTTTATTTTCAGTGGTGCAGGGATTGCAATAATATAATAGATATTACAGAGGAACATGATTGCCCTATTTATAACAGTAACAATAGTGATATCAACACAAAGAGCAAAAATGATTATATCGAAAAATTAATTACTGAAGTATTCGAAAGAGAACCTTTATGGAACTCGTCCCTGCCTTATAAGTTCAGAGGTCCATCAGATATAAAAGTATTATGGGCTGAAATAGATAATTGTTTAGGTAAGAATGAATATATATGCGTATGTTTATTCAACATATATTAATATGTAAAAATTGAAGAGTATATATTTCTAAAAATATATATGTATATCTATGTAGGTACAACTGCTGGTACAAGCCAGATAAAGTGGAAGAATATAAGGGACCGTTTCGTAAAAGAGCATGCTTTAGAATGTGCTTATATCCCAAGTGGTAGTGCAGCTGTAAAAAAGAAGAGTACTTGGTCATTTTATGAAAGTTTACGTTTTCTGACACCAACGATAAATTATAGAAGGTATTTATAGTGTGATTTTGATAAACTACAATATATAGATGTATATACAGATACATATATAAAATATGGAACTATTGATACTATATAAAATAACATATAATACATAATAAATCATTGGAATATTTCAATTTAATGATTATATTAATTATAATAATAATAATGACAGTATATCATCATATATAACGAAATAATATTAGTTAATTTTAATTTAATTGGAAACTGTATTTTAGAACAAAAAGTAACATTGAAAATATAGATCCAACTGTACCTTTAGCTTCAGCAAAAAAAGAATCAGATGAATCCATTATTTCACTTATTTCTGGACCAAGTACCAATACAGAAAAAGAAGATAACATTTCGCACAAATCATTATTACAGAATAGAACTTCATTAAAACCACAATTAATGTATCCGAAGAAGAATTACTGTAAGCAACTATACAACGATTAGTTATTTTTTTTATTCTCTGCATATTTTATTTAAAATTCTATTTTGATTTTTTACACAGCTTTCACACCTCCATACACATCAGATTCAGATAGCTGTGATATAAAAAACAAAGCTTTTGAAGAATCAATATGTAGAATAAAAGGCACCAGTACGTATATATAAATTATTAAATGTAATTATTTTGCGTGTTGTAAAACGTTCTGTTACGGTACAAAACAAGATTTGTTCTGAGTATTTTGCTTCATTCATTTTTATCTGCAAAACGTTTTTGTTGATATATAAGAAATATTTTCTTTATTGCATGTAATATAAAAAAAAACAATATTTATTTTACAGAAAAAACAAAGATAGTTAAAAAAAATGATACAAGTTCTCTTTGTGAAGAAACTATTTTGATGGAATTAGTACGAACGAGACCAGCAGATAAACCTCATACAAAACCTGATGAAATTGAATGTTTCACAAAATATATTGAAGCATATCTGCGAGGGATGAGTGCAGATAACTCAAAACGTATTAAAAATATAATATTAAAACTTATCGCAGAGGAAGATATGTAATATGTTTGATTTCAGTATTCTGTTTTATTTTAATATTCGATGTTTTATTTCAATATTCTATATATAGTTATGTTTTATTGTTTTCTTTTTAATATTTGTTTGTGTGTATATGTATAATTGTTAAATGTCACTAAATGACAGTTATGTTATGCAATATATTATGCATTACACACACAAATACACGATATTACGTACTTAATACAAAATTAAGATTTGTCTGATATATAAAATAATATTCTTGTAAATCAGGATAATTTTTATTTTAGAAGTTACATTTTATGTAGATTGTGGTTACTAGTCTTAATAAAATACGAACATATATGTATATAAATGTATAATCTTTATTTTTGAATTAATACACAAACTTACAATATGATAACAATCTCTTGCCTACATAATATCTTCTTGCCAAGGGATTTTTCCCTCGTTCATAAAATACTCTGTAAAAATTGTCCGAATTTCACCAGCTTGTCTAGTGTAGTTATTATTACCAAAACTTTTATTCCTATAATTATCACTATTGATGTGTTTTTGCCTCCATTCTCCTTCAATTATTTGGCCATTTGCTAATAATTGATCAGCATAATTTCCTCCACAGTAATTTGAAGTACTCATTAATAAATTATGCAAGCAGACTGTTGCTTTTATTATTGCATCACTTGTTACAAGACTGGTGTTTAAAGGTTTCTGATAAATACGCCATCGAGTAACTAATATTCCAAACGCATTCTCAACAACTCGTCGAGCTCTACTTAATCTATAGTTAAATATGCGTTGTTTTGTTAAATTTTTCGATGGGTATGGTCGCATTGTAAATGAATTCAACTGAAATGCCTCGTCAGCTACAATAACATATGGAACATTATGTTTGTTACTAATAGCAGAAGGATCAGGCAAATACATATTATTGTTATAAAATCGTTGTCCCATAGCTGAATTTTTAAAAATTCCTTCGTCACTATGCCTTCCTTGAGCGCCAATGTCCACAATTAAAAATTTGTACGTTGCACTCACTAACGCCAATAACACTATGCTGTGGAACCCTTTATAATTATAATAAGTGCTCCCTGCTTTCTTAGGACACTATGGAAATAATATTTATTAATATTTATGAGATATGTAATTAAAATTTTTACGTATATATTTTAATATAATCTTACAATTATAGATACGTGCTTCCCATCCAAAGCATCAATACAATTTGGAAAGTTCCATTTATTCTCAAATTCATGAGCTATTTCTTGCCACCCATTTGTTATTGGCGTAAATAATTCTTCTTTATGTAGACAACTCCATATAGCCTCGCAAGTTTCTCTTATAATACACGTCGTAGTACTTCTTCCAATTCTATAGCTAAGTGAAATACTATGAAATCCATCTCCACTTGCCAAATAACTAAAAATAACAAAATTAATTTATTACATGTTATATAAGAATAAGAACATTTCTATCTATTATTTAATATAAATACAAGAGACAATAATATTTAGATTAAATAAAGTTATTATAAATCTACTTACCGTATAGTCATTGACAATCGTGCAGCTGGTGAGATAGGTTTTCTCCAATGTGTTTCCATTTTTGTTATCGTAGGTCCAACTTTTGATAATAAATATTCAAACATACTAGGTGTCATCCTCATATAAGTAAAATATGTATCATCATCTTGTAAAATCATTTCGCGGAAATTGTGCCAGTCTCCTTGCTGTTGCTTCAGTTTGAGTATCGGGTGTACCCAATATTTTCGCTTAGTTATCATTTCTTTTCTTTTTCGATGTCTTATATATAATAAACATAAAAGTAATATTCGACGTCTTGCTTCATTCATAACTTTTATTATACAACTTCTATTACTCGTATAACAATTTTTGCAAATGTATGTTTATTATAATAGAGGTTATAATGACACTGTATCTACGCATGCGCATATAAACTATAACGCGTGCTGTGTGAGTGCCGGAAAAACCAATTCTCTTTACCGCGTCGTTTCTTTCCGCGCGGCAAGCGTTTCCGCGTCCTGTGTGCAGGAGCCATAAGAGTTTCTTAGGCAAAAACTTCTTCGCAAAGATTATCTTAATATATGTTTATGAATTATATCGATTTTAAGGTGATCTTCATTCAATAAGATAATCTTGACTAAGACGATCTTCAGTATCGCCTTGAGACTCGACTATGAATACGGCCCATAGTCTTCGGGCTTGAAATGTTTGGAGCAAATAAAGCCTGTGTGTGGATTCCAATTTTCATTTCGCTTGCACATGTTAATCCAGGCTTTTTTTATTTTTTCATCTTTTGGAAAGTGATGATATTTTATACTTGTGTCTGTTGTTTTTGTCCTTTTCAAGATATTGTTGCAGCCAGCTACATTGCATCTAATCCCAGGCATTTTTGCAAGCTTTTTTGCTACAATGAGAAGATGGAAACAGTAACATTTTGTTGCTATTCACCAAATGGTTTCACAAAATTTATATCCAGTAAACATGAAGTCAAAGTTATATAACTGTTAGTTATAAGTTCTCACTCGATAATGTAAATGTAATATAACATGTAGGTTATGTTACAGTTATATTGTCGAGTGAGAAATTACAAGATTGTACCTAACAGTTATGTTTTAAAGAAACTATATTTTATGCAGTTTATCTTTTTATACGGACCTGGGTACTTGGTATTTATAATCACACTTAGGGTGCGTTCGGGGAGCACGCTATTTGCACAATAAGTATCTAAGACCGTTCGAGGAGACGCTTTGTGGCGCTATAAAATCGATAATGACATCACTCTCAAAGCAGCGTGACGTCATTATTCGCGCAATTTTTCGCTATCATTTTCGAGGTAGGGCAGCAAATGCTATTAGCGCTAATTGGCGTTTATTCTTTCCTCGAACGTTCGATTGTGCTTTAAAGTGTTAGTCTATGATCTGTTCTTTTTAACTGCTGTTCTTTCAACCAATTACAACAGTGCAACCAGAAAGAACAAACCAATTGCGTCAAAAGTCAAATAAAGACAATTTATTAAACTGTGAGAAACTGTATTCACAATGGCTCAACCACTTAGTCAAATATCTGAAAATGTCGAAATTCATCTTTTAGATGAAAACGACGTGACATACACAATAAAAGTATCGCCAAATGATGCAGCGCGTGCAGAAAATGGTAATTATGATGACAGAGGTTATATAAGTATTCTATATGCTAATAATTATCCAAGTATAGAAGATAGATCAGTTGATATAATGGAAATTAATAAATTAGATTATAATAAAAGAATGTGATTGATTTATATCTCCTTTAATATATAGATATTATTCGTTATTCTTTTAGATACGATATTTGCTACTTATCTTCTAAAAAGAGCAAAATCACAAGATTCAGATTTTGATGCAGCAAGTCTTTCAATGGAGTCTTCCAATTCTGAGGATAATAATGAATCAATGTTTAAATGGTCTCATGCGGCAATTCTATTGCTGGTAGAAAAGTATCGGCTGCAAGAAAATAACATTGTATCGGGTAAAATGTCCCAGAAAAAAGTATGGAATAATATTGCATCAGCATTATCTGTTAAAGGCTATAATGTCACTGGACCTCAATGTCTTTCAAAATTTCACGGAATGAAACGAACTTATAAATCTATAAAAGATCACAATAGCAAATCAGGGAATAATCTTAGAACATGGCCTTATATGGAAGTCATAATATAAAAGAAAATTTAAAAATTTTATTTTTAAAATATATATAATAATAATATATATAATTAACAGTGGAAATGTGCAACAAAAAGTAAGACTGAATAAAATTTACTTTGTTACTTTTTGTTTATTGTATAAGTTGTGTAATAAGTTGTATAATAAACTATCTATACAGTCTCTCAATAAGTGCTTCTCGCATTACAAAACCCTCTCCCGGCTGCCAGTGTGGTTCAATTGGTATTTCTATTTCATTATTTTCTTCAACTTCTTCTTCTGGTAACATCATTAAAAATTAAAGACATGTTATGCAGCACAGCACACGCAACAACTATTGTTGTTGAACCAATTAACTTGTTGCTTAATCCTCTAGATAAGCACGGAAATCTACGTTTCCATATCCCAAATGTTCTTTCAACAATCTGACGTGTTCTTCCGTGAAGTACATTATAACTGTAAAAAAATACATTTGTTTACTAACATTTTATAAAAAAAAAAATATATATAACCTAATGTAACCACAGAAAAATACTAACGCAATTTCTTCATCTGTTTGCGGATTCTGAATAGGAGTTAAAAGAAATGGTAAACAGGGATATCCTGCATCTCCTATTAGAATACGTGGCAACTGACGTTGAAAGTATTTCATGTATTGGGTGAGTGCAAAAGTTCGTGCGGAGTTTCAATAGATGGAGTTATAAGCGTCGTAAAGTGTTGTCATTAATACTTCCATCTACATATTATATAACGTTGGAAAGGTGACGTCTTCAGCTGTTATTAAAAAAAAAATCATTTGTTTTCATACAAACTGCTTCGAGAAATATCACTTTAAAAATGAGTATCGATAAGGTGCATTTACGGCATGTTATGCTTTACGAGTTTCGGAAGGGAATAAACGTTGCCGCAGCCGTAAAAAACATTCAGGATGTTTATCAGGATGAAGCACCAGCTAAACGAACTGTGGAAAAATGGTTTGCTAAATTTCGGCGCGGAGAATTTAACCTTGAAGACGAGCCACGCTCTGGTCGACCTTCTGACATTGATGACGATGTTTTGCGTACTTTAGTGCTCAATAATCCGCGAATTTCAATAGAAGAAGTTACTAAACGTTGACCGATCAACCGCTTTTCGGCGTTTAAAAAAGATGGGATTCGATTTGAAGCTCGATATATGGGTGCCCCATTTGCTGACCGAGAAGAACAAAATCAAGCGAATTTCTGCAGCCGTTTCTTTACTCGGGCGGCTCAATAACGAGTCGTTTTTGGATCGACTAGTGACGGGCGATGAGAAATGGGTCCTCTACAACAATGTTCAGCGCAAACGGACATGGAAACAATCAGGTGAGCATGGTGACGCAATGCCAAAGGCCAGTTTGCACCCGATGAAGGTGATGCTCTCTGTTTGGTGGGATTGCAAGGGCATAATCTATTTCGAGCTTCTCCCCGCTGGCGAAACGATTGATTCGGACAAGTACTGTCGCCAATTAACCAATCTGAATCGAGAAATAAAAGAGAAACGTCCGATTTTGTCAAATCGCAAGGGAGTCGTCTTTCATCACGACAACGCCAGACCACATGTTTCGAAAAAGACGCTGCGCAAACTGAAGAGCCTGAAATGGGATGTCTTAACGCATCCACCGTATTCTCCTGATATCGCACCATCTGACTATCACTTGTTCCGGTCATTGCAAAATTATTTAAATGGAAAAAACTTTGACTCTTTGGAGGCCTTAAAAAACGGCGTCTCTTCGTTCTTCGAATCTAAACCGCGCAGTTTTTATGATCGAGGCATCCGTATGCTGCCAGAACGTTGGGAAAAGATTATAGAAAACGATGGAGAATATATCATTGATTGAATAAAGATTTTTGTTTGCCTAATCACTGTGTGACTTTTACTCACAAACTCCGCACGAACTTTTACACTCACCCAATATATAGCAGAATTTTGAAAAATTCTACTATCATGCTGGCTACCCGGCCATTCTGGAACAATATCCAAAAATTGTTCTAGGCCCAACAACAGCCTACATATAAAAATATATTAAAACCAATATTTTTTAGTATAATGTACTTAATAACATTTTATTACAATTAATATGTGTGTATTTACATATGTTACATTGCATACCTGTACATTTAATGATAGATATCCCTTTCGATTTCTATAAATTTCTTCTATGTTCTGCAATTTGGTACCAACTAATCGTACATGTGTACAATCAATAGCTCCATCAATCCCTGGTAAACCAATACCTCCAGCACGACTTCCTATATCTTTAAAAAGGTTGTGATTTTCTCTTATAGCATCTGGTGTAGAAGGCATTTTTATAAACCTATTGAATATCCTTGCTAACAATATGGATACTCGAAATACAACTCTTGATATAGTTGGTTGCGAGACAATAATTGTATCTCCAAGTACTGCCTGTAAAAATATAAAAAAAATATATATTATTTGCATTAATGAATCCATAAGAATTATAATTATAAAATATTATTTGAAATAATTATGATAGATATCTCAATATATCCTAGCAGGAATCATCAAAACACATCATAGGGATATCTTACAGAAGTTGTAATATCTTTAAGATATGCTTATGATATATTTTGGATATTTCTGCTGTGGTATAAATTTATCATGTATAATATATACTATATATAATAACTTATTGCATGTATAATTAAATATTTTATCTTCTCTAACCTGAAAACTGCCTGTAGCGTAGAACCGTAGACAAATTAACAATTGATATACCGGACGTATTGGAAGACCACGATTATTATTGCGTGCAAGTCCTTCTTCAATTTCTGGCAAAATTCCATGTATTACAGATTCTTTATTAAATCTAAAACGCCTTTTAAATTCTTTGTTACTATAAAAGTGAAACGGATCGAACCAGTCTCTAATATATCTTTTCGGAACACGCACGTCTCTTTCATCATCGCTATTAATATCATCTATTTCTAAATCATTATGTAAATCAATTATATTGACCACTTCCATATTAAAAAATAAATTTGTTTAACTACGAACAAAATAGCTACACAAGCACTGAGCACTACTAATATCTTAAGTCTACTTTTAACATAACTTGATGAAGACCGCCTTATTTAATTATATATACGTCGAATAAGATAATCTTGAACGACTATGAATTCGGTAGTAATAAGATAACTTTAAGTCAATGCTTATATGAAATAAGATTAGTTTATGAATAATATTAAGACGTTTTAAAATAAGATAGTCTTCGAAAAGTTTTGCCTTCAGGTTTTGCTCAAGTCTTCGCTTATTTGTTGATTATGAATGTAGAGAATGTCTTGAGACCAAACTTAAGGCGGTCCTCAAAATAAGAATCGACTATGAATACCGCCCTATGAAAGAGATTTAAAAGCTGAATTACTAAATATACCATCGAAGCGAAGATTGAAAGCAACAGGTGAATTTTAGAACTAATTTAGTCTCGGTCTGTTACAAAAATAACAAACTGTTTACATGAACAGATTATGATATCAAGAAAAATTAAAGATCCCATATTTCAAGTGTTTCAAACAGGAATTCTAATGTCAATAACATCATTAAAATTGTTGTTTGACGACATGAAATTGAAGTTTTCTATACAATATATCTTAACGCATCGATTGAATCAAGATTGTTTAGAAAATTTCTTTCCTCAAATCAGAACAAAAGGGGGCTTACATGATCACCCTTCGCCATTAAATGCTTTATATCGTATTAGGATGATTGTACTTGGGAAAAATTCAAAGATTGTTCAAAGTCATGTCAATGTAGAAGATTTATCCAAAGACGAATTTATTATATGTAAAGTACTTGAAAATGCTAGTATTTCACTCATTGAAAAGTTTACACTGCAACCATTTGTAAAGGAATCAGACAACGAAACATTATCATCATCATCCTTAAGTTCAGCATCAAACAAAACAATGAAGTGTGATACAGAGGAAGATGGCCTCATTTATCTAGCTGGATGGATAGCACGAAAATTCAACAGTAAATATTCAAATTTGGGATCTTTCTCGAATAAAAATGAAACCGTACATAAATACTCTTACCATCATGGATTCAACACTTGTCGTTTGGAGGATTAATGGAACCGACGAAAGAATGGATTGATAATGTACATCTAATGAATAAAGTGTTCATAAAATATCATAAACATGGAGTATTTAAATCAAGGAAAAATGTTACAAAAACAGTGGTTAAAAGGATCTCTAAACAATATAGCACTAAAATACCAATAGATCTTATTCAATCTTTTGTACTGCAGCGTATTTTTATTCGCATAAAATTTCAGAACACAAAATTAAAATCCAAACATAAAATAATTGGTATGAAACGAAAGCTCGAGAACTCTCAACGAAAAGTAGTCGCAAAATACAAAAAAATAATTTATTAAACACAAATTTAAATGTGTTACTCATATGTATTATTTTTCATAATAAATATTAACTTATAAATCGAAAGATGTGTTTATTAATTTTTATAACAATAATATGTATGTGCTTTTCGGAAGTTCATTTATCTTTCTTTGAACTAATTAATACCAATAACAAACTGTTAATATTAACTGCTTATATTAATAATAACTGTTTAATTAACAGTTAATATTAACTGTTAATATTAATAATAACAAGACATACCGTTATTGCTTTAAATTAATAAATCTTGCTTGCATGCATATATTCTCTGATGCAAATATAAATTTTGTGGCACTTAAATTATAATAGAATATTTGTTGCATTTACTACTATATATAAATAATTAAATATTGTTTACATCATATATACACTTACATATATTATACATGCAATAATTTGTATTAATTTTCCTATTAACAATAACATTTATTCATGGTTAATAGCGTTTAGCCACTATTGCGTTTTGCGCATGCGCCGACTGAGTGAGATAGATATATATAGCTTTCTCTCTCGCACAGGATTCACAGTGACGTCACGAAAGAGTGGGGATGAGGCAACCTGTATATCTAATAACCTTGAGAGTCACTGCTCCGCTTGTGGAGCACGCCTGCGCAGTGACTCACGACGAAAGGCGAGAAATGAAATATATGCGGTGGGACATATTATAATAATACAGACTCAGATGAAATGAATACTCCAGTATTAAATGGAAATGAGGGAACACAGAACAGACAAGAATCATCCGATGTAAGTCATACTCCGGAGGACATCCGAAAAAGGTAAAATACGAACTTAATTAAGAGAATTAAGCTGCATTACGATAGTTACGATTCTGTATACATTTATTAGGAGCGCAAAAAAGTTCTGAGCCTTTTTTTGCAAAATTCAAAATTTATTTAAAAACAAATAAAACTATATTAATCAACGAAACATTCCCCGTTTGCATCGATGACCTTTTGCCATCTTTCGGGCAGCTTGCGAATTCCCTGATGAGAAGCTCACCGGCTTCGAGGCGATAAAGTCATCAATGCATTTTCGTATCTCTTCAAGTGTCACAAAATGTATATCAGCCAAGAAATGCTGCAGAGACCGGAATAGGTAGTAATCGGAAGGCGCCATGTCTGGGCTATACGCCGCGTGCGGGAGAAGTTCCTAGCCTAACGCAAAGATATGGTCCAGAGTCACTTTCGCAACATGTGGTCGGACATTGTCATGAAGCAGTATCACTTTACGACGTCCTTTGCCAGTAAATGGCCTCTTTTCTTCAAACGCATCGCTCAAATTGCTCAATTGTTGCTGATAGCGATCTACCGTTACTGTTTCACCCGGTTGTAACAACTCGTAATACAATACACCTTTCCAATCCCACCATATGCAAAGCAAAACCTTCTTGGCGTGGATATTGGTCTTTGGCGTCGATGTCGAAGGTTGACCAGGGTCAACCCATGATTTTTTACGCTTCGGATTATCATAAAGTATCCACTTTTTATCACCTGTAATGATTTGGTGCAGAAAATCCTTTTTCCGGAACCTTGAAAGCAAAGTGAGTGCCGTGTCACGCCATCGATTTTTGTTGTCTTCGGACAATGCATGCGGAACCCATCTTCCTTTTGAACTTTTCCCATTGCATGTAAACGTGTGGAAATGGCTTGTCGCGTAACGCCAAGTTGCTCTGCAAGCTCCTTTTCAGTTTGTGCAGAGTTTATATCCAACAATGCTTGCAGTTCGTCCGTTTCAATCTTTTGAGGACGTCCAGCACGCGGTTCATCTTCAAGACTGAAATCTCCTTGGCGAAATGTTTGATACCACTTTTTACACATAGCATAACTTACAGCGTTCTCTCCATATGCAACACAGATCATTTCAGTGGCTTCAGCAGCATTTTTCTTCAGATGAAACGCGAAGTGGATGGAAAATCGAATATGCTCTTTTGTTATTGTCATCGTGAACACTGCTGATTTTAAGGTTATGTGCATTAAACGCCGAATCGCACGATGTTTCGAAAGACCAAATGTCACTGCTTTAAAACTGCAAGAGGGCGGGAAAATTAATGCAATTTAAATTGTGGTTTCAGTAGTATGAAAGCTAGAGCTCAGAACTTTTTTGCGCCCCTAATATATATGATTTATTGTTCCAGCAACAGCCATCTTCTATAGCAGAAGCAATGATATTAGATACAGAAGCAGCTGTTATAGCGAATTTTGAATATCTATTATTATAATAGGTTTATATTTTATCTTAAAGTACATGAATAAAAAGGGATTTACTAACCCTTTTGAAGAATTCATTTCCAGATGGATAGAACCAGGTGGCGATTCTTCAATTTCTGTGAGGAGATTTAATTCATTTAATACTTCTGCCTCTGCATCTGTATCAACATCTTCCGCTAGAAGGGGGATAGATGCCTGAAAAATAAGAAATTATGTTAACAAATAGCGTGAACAATATCATTAAAACGCAAAATGATAGTAAGCGTTACTTTATTTGGTTTGGTATCTGTATTTGCATCATAAATTTCATCGTCTCCATCTCCTTTTTCCTCTTCCATGTCCATGTCTGTATGTCCCAAAAATTCAAAATGTACAGTTGGAAAGACTAGCGAGGCGTATGCGTATATTTCTCTCGAGGTGTTTTCATGCGTGACGCCTTACCGATAGACGGAGTACGTCAAAACGAGAGTGGTATTGTAAATTTAGACGACACAGAGGGACCAGGTACTCACTGGGTGGCGTATGCGAAAAGGGGAAATCGCGCAGTATATTTTGATAGTTTTGGTAATCTTCGACCGCCCAAGGAATTGATTCGATACCTTGAGAGAGATGTAGTGAAAATTATATACAATCGCACGTCTTATAAACATTACAACCAGAGCATTTGCGGATAATTGTGCTTGCAGTTTCTCTAAACAGTAGAGGATCAATTTAAATGATGATGATGACATTCCACTAACAGCAGTCAATATTCGTTCGGCAGTTTCCAAACATGTCGCTAACGCTTACGTTGACTGGCAACAGTAGCACCCTTACGGTGAGCTACATTCCCGCTATAGATTTGAGCGATGGTGATTATGAGCTCGGTTTAACGGATTTCGAAGCATACAATACGATACCAAACGTAAATTCGTTGAATAATAAATTTTACTATGGTGCTAACGATGAAGAAATTACGATTCCCGAAGGATCTTACGAATTGCGCGCCATATACGAATATCTAAAACGTGCAATTTCACATTCTCAAAAAGCAATGCGTTCCAAAAATAATCCATATAGAGATGACGAAAATGAATATCCTATAATAATTCGTGCCAATAATAATACGATGAAGAGTGAAATAAAATGTGATTATAGAATAAATTTTAACAAACAACATTGGCTCGCTTTTGGAATTCTCATCGAGTCGTATATTAGAATCGCACCGATGGTACGAATCGGACGCCCCGATTAAGATTATCAACGTGAATATCATTCGTATAGAATGCAGCGTTGTCAGTGGTGCGTACAGTAACAGTATGCGTGTACATACGATATATGAATTCTCGCCCAAGGTGCCACCAGGATATAAGATATCGGAAATACCGATACATGTCATTTACCTTCCAATCATCGCACAGAGCATTACAAATTTAACGGTGCATGTAGTTGATCAAGAAGGCTAATCGCTCGATTTTCGAGGAGAAGAGATTACCGTTAGATTGCACATACGACGGCGACGATAATAAATGTAATCTATGAAATGCTTGTGGTGAATCAAGTGGAACAGGTGAAACAAGCTGGAAATATACTTTTTACGAGACGCGCGATTACCCAATCAGCACACAATATTTTTTAAACGTTTTTTAAATATTTATTTTTCATTATTTTTACAATATTACATTTCATTGTACAAATAATATTTATTCAATGTTTATTAAACATTTATTTTACATTAATTAATCGTTTACAATAACTATTTAAAAAAATATTTTTTCAAAATTAATTTAATATTTATTTTACATTAATTAATTATTTTATTAAAACAAATAAAAGATTAAATCAATTTATTTAAAATAATGGCTGATAAAAATGAAAGTATTATTGTACGTCATTACTTACGCGTCATAAATGCAAACAATTCTAAAATGATTATTATTTGTGCAATAAATATTTGTGAGAAATGTTATATGCAAATTTCTCGTGAATGCTTGAGCTGAAAGTTCAGTTCCTGCATATACAGGACATGACATGCGGTATTCAACTGTGATTGGTCCATTCCTATTCCTATTCCTGTACATCTGGGTGGCGATCACGTAAAGCCTGGGACACAATACGAAAGTACAGGCAATAGGAATAAGAATTGACCAATCACAGCCCACAATTCTTGTAATAGTCGACTGTGATTGGTCAGTTTCTATTCCTATTGTCTGTACTTTCGTATTGTGTAAGTTAACGGTAAAGCCCTAAACACAATGCCAGGCAACAGGCAATAAGAATAAAAATAGACCAATCACAATCGACTATTATAAGAATAATCTATTGTGATTGGTCTATTTTTATTCTTATTGCCTGTTGCCTGACATTGTGTTTAGGGCTTAACGGACTACATAGAAGGGTCTTTATAAAATAAAGGGCCTCCATAAAATAGCCGTTCCGCTATTTCTTACTCCATCAGGACACACCCTAAAGTTTGCGACATCATGTGGAGTCGGCTTTATATGAACGACCTAACCTGACCTAACCGAACGTACCGTTGAATGTGCATGCGCGCGAAACGACTCGCTGCCATTACTATTTAGCCTTTGTCTAGCGTATATTTGGTATGGTACGAAGATACATATTTCGAAACGAAAAGTAAGTAATATTAATTTATCTTACATTGCAATATATACAAATATCTTACTGTAAATGTACTATAAATACTTAAGATATATATGTAATTTACAGAAAGAGAGGATTTATTAGCCTGCAGGTAACGTATGCATTTACTTATACATCGATATAATTACATATCCTGCTGCAAATGTTCTACAGATAGGAAATATATATCAATTCGCTATAAGAAGATAGGTATTTGACACACACATGTCTACATATCTCTATCAATTTTATATAAGGATTTACAGATAACCTATAGGTAAATTGTACGTTATACATCTGTAACTTACATATTTATTTAAAGATTATCTGTAGAAAATCCTTGTATAAAAAATTGATAGATACGTAGATTTGTGTATCAAATATTGAGAGATGATTTATAGGCAGCCAATTAAGATAACCTATACAGATAACGTATACAGATAATCTACACATTTACTCTTATTATAATAAGATATAGATAATTATCTATAGGTAACCTATACATCCTCTCTTCTTCTAACGGATTGATATATATCTCCTATATATCTATAGAGTATTTGCAGCAGGATGTAATTATATAGATAGACCGATGACATCTGCTGTAAGACAAAGCGTGGCAACATAGCATATTTAATCCTTAAATAGACACGTAGGGTGTATTTTATTGAGTACAGAATATCTGAAGATGAACTTAAATATTGGAAGCCTGAAATATTAAAACTTGACTATGAATGTGGGCATATATATGTACTGCAAATGTTATCTCTCTTGGCAGGAACTGGTATATCTATATAAATCTATATTTATAGCAAATTAGGTCATCATATTACACAATATAAATACAAATTGAAGGTTGCTACATGTGAAACCGTATCTAACTGCAATGGTATAACATATAACTGGTTCAACGATATAATTACCAATGCATATTTTGCTAAATAATGTGATAAAGTTATTGAATATTTATATAATAGTTTAAAGTATGTATGTGCCCTTACATTAAAAAAAATATATAACTTTTAGTACGTATTAATCTGGCGTAGAACAGTTCATCGTGTTATATTATGATCGGTAAGATTATATTATTTTGCATCTTTTTCTCTGTATTACATTGTACCTTGTGTAAACTGTACTTCTTTTTGTATTTATTCATAAGTTTCATTATGTGCTCATAGCTAAAGAATTTCCTACTATTAATGTAACAATATTTGGTAGGAAAGCAGGACCATGGTTGGCCCAGGCTACCTTTCGCATAAAAAAGTAAATATTCTATACATTTGTGTTATATTAACTTTTTGTAACTAATTTGGCTGAAGTACGCACCTAAATCAAAGATTTATTAAATAAGAAGTCATTAGATTATGACATTTATAGCTTATGAATTTTTATTAATATTGAAATATTTGTGATATTTACAGACAAAACAGCAAAAAGGAAGAAGCTGCGAATGACGAACCACAAAATTCATCATTTAATGAAGATGAAGGCGAGTCTACATACGACGAAAGCAGTGAGGACGGCGATAGAAGACTGCAATAAAAAAATACTCATTTGTATTCCAAAGAGAACAGAAAGTTAAAATGATGTCTATTTGACGTTCGGTTGCAAGCCCTTGTCTACAACCTTGCTTTAAGTTGTAACCGTAATAAATTGACCAACTACAGTCGCTTGTAAGGGTGGAGTTCAGATACTCTGTGGAAGGTATTTTCCGCGTGTAACACGTAACCAATGAATTGCGACGATTGAATACTCAGATGGAACCTTGTAAAAGAATGAACGATATGATTGATTACGCGATACTCCTTATGCGGAAAATATATGCCATATATAGGACTCCAGCCTAATAGTCGACTGTGATTATAGTCAATTTCTTATGGCTTACGGGATTAAATCAAGATTGTCGACAAGGGCTCACATTTATTAAATTTTTTTTATTTTTTGTCAATTTGTCATTTTAACTTAACGATTCTAACATTGGAACATGAGATTTAATCAGTAGGACATTTACTTTGTTACTTAAGATTTACTTTATGATATCCTTATTTTCCACATGTTCCAAAGACTAATATAGAATTGCGATAATCTGTGCTGAGAAAAAAATTTACTAAATTTAAACTAATGTTACTTTGAATACAACTGAAATAATTTGTTTAAATTAAACAATTACTTGTTTAAGTTTAACAATTATTTTCTAAAATTAAACTTCTTTTTGTACTTTTAGAAAATATTTGCTTAATTTAAACAAATTATTTCACGGTTGTATTCAAACTAACAGCTTAAATTTAGTAATTTTTTTCTCAGTGTTAATATATCATTATTACATTTCAACTATTAAGTAATAATATACAGGGTGATTAAATCAACCTTGAGTTCTTGAAAAGACATAATCCTGACTAGATTCTGAGACGATTTTTCCTTTTACAAAACTATTCGAAATATAGTTTTTGAATTATAAAAGGAAATAGTTATCTTATCACGGGTTGAATACAGAAGATAAGCAGTGGCAGCGGAACTCACCGTCGGACCTGACAACTCAGCCGCCTAAAATATAAGCGACCACGTCTGACGTGGTAAATTTCGCCGCCATTGCCTACCTCCTGTATTCAACTTGTGATAAGGAAACTATTTCCTTTTGTAATTCAAAAACCAGATTTTGGATGAAGTTTTGTAAAAGGAATAATCGTCTCAGAATCTAGTCACGTCTTTTCAATTAAGGACCCAG